CTGTTTTATCTTTAACTAAATTTCGATAAATTTTTCTTAAACGATCAATACGTTCAGGTTCAAAACCACCTGGTAATTTTCTAACATCATTATTTTTTAAACTTTTTATTGTATCCATCATAAATTCAACACGTTTTGATGATGATGATAATAATGTTGATGATGAACATGATGTTCGTAATTCTTGTAAAAAACCTTTTAATTGTAATGGATCATCTTTACGTAAAATAAATCCAATTGTTTTTAATAATAAAAGAATTAATTCAAGACGTTTTTCATTTAATTGATCAATATTTAATAAATATCGAGCTATATCAAATAAAACTTTTCCATTTGTCATATGAAATGCATATAAATATGAAATAAATATTATTAAATTATCATTTATTTTATTCGATACTTCATCATTAATATGTTCTATGAATACTGGTAAGAAATTTTCTAATAAATCTGAACCAATTTTTAAATCAATATTAGCATGAAGAAGACAAGCAAGTAAAGCATGTTCAGAAAGTAAACTTTCACCTGTCAATGAAAGTGATGATAAAAGACTATCATAATATAATTTATATAAACATGAATTAATCGATGCACGAGATTGAGAACGATAAAGTGTTTCGATTTCAATTAATATTGATGATAAATTTTTCTCACTTAAACGATTTAATTGACCTTGAAGATGACGTTTTAGTTCTACAGTTGAATTGTCATCTGATGAAGTTAATTTTTGACGAAGAGCAGGAGGTATATAAGCTGTACCTGAAATAAATTTATATTAACTTGAATAAAACGAACACTTTTTTTTTCAGGAATGAACAGGCTTAACAAATTTTCTGATTTTAACAAGAGAAGGTATTCAAGTATGACTCTCTGGATTCCAATCGGAATTTATGACAGAATGTAGACTTCTATGAGTTGATTACGATGGTATTAAGTGTTCTTTCTCATAGACTGTTTTGGGGGAAAGAAGAATATCCTTGCCTTTCAGTTACCTTGTGTAATGAGTCAGTCTGACGTAGAATTCTTGTGCTCAATTGCTTGAGCTCCTCGTGCACACTAACCTACTACAAGAGCAAGTGTATATCACAACATAGACAGCATGCTATCGAACAGATGATCCGAGACTAATAGTTATTAGCGAATTGTCCAGTGTTATTCTATGGCGGACGATACTGAGGTTTACACAGAGTGCTTTGTGAATACGTGTCAAACAACGTAGTCACTCAACCATGACAGCTATCTTTGAGAAGTTAGGCTGGTCTCAATTAAAGAGAAAGGATAAGCATAGAATTAAACTAATTTTTCTTCTCAGAACTGATCAAGATTTTCTGCGAATACTATTTTAAAGATGGTATGAGTAAAAGTGAAGAGGAGATTCATATCTTGTCACCCTCACATCACACCCGCTCATGACAGAGTCTTTTTTTTTGTTGAAATTCTTACTTTTTAAAGAAAGAAAGTTCAATGTCTCGAAAAACTCTCAAAAACTGACGTTCTAATTATAAAAGTCCTCTTTTATATAATAGTAGCATAGTTTAATTCAAAAACGGACTCTCTCATGTCTTGCATTTTATATGTTCTTTCCAATTAAAAAAACCATTGGCTACGATAAAGCTTCATCGACAATTGTAGGATCCGCACTCAGGAAAGCATGAAAAGAGAAAAAGGAAAATTTTTAATTTTATCTAAAAAAACATATTTTTGAAACAGAAAAGGACAAAAACTTTTGAAACAAACGAGATATCATATAAAAGTTGATCCTATTTATAAAAGATTAGATCTCGGGCTATATTCCCATACATATATCTCAAGTTTCATATTATTGACGAAAATTACCTTTTTCTTTTTTAGAGAAACCTAAATGTTTTCATTCAAACATCGAAAATTGCAAATAATTTACTACATTTTTTATTGCATTATTAACGACAGAAATAATTCTATTGTTTTAGTTAGTTTTCTCACTTGAATTATTTTTGACAACATTGCCTTTGACATCAATTGTTCGTCCATAAATATCTTCTTTCATCGGTGAAGTTTCTTCAATATCATCATCTTTGTATTCTTCTTCTATTTCTTCACTGAAATCTTCTTCTTCTTCTTGTTCTTCATGAAAATCTTCCTCTTCATCCTCATCAAAATCTTCTTCTTCTTCTTCTTCATCTTCATCAAAATCTTCTTCATCATCTATTGAATCATTATCAATCATTTTAGTTTGAACCTGATCATTAAATTTCACGACAGATGTTTTTTTCTTTTTTGTTTTTTCTTGTTTAATATTGTTTTGTTCATTTTCAAGTTGATTTGCTAATTCTACTTGTTGTTTTTGTTTATTTACTAACCATTGTTGATCTTCATCAAGTTCATCATACCAAGCATTACCTTGTCCATCACCTAATTAATATTATAAAATAAAATAATAAATAAGAAAAATGAAAAATGAATTATTTACCTTCTGCAAGCATAATTTTTTTTCTTCGATCTTTATCACAAAAATCGAGTAAATAATCTAATCCATCATCAATAAAACCACGTAAATAAGTTTTTCTATTAGATTTAATGCGTAAAAGTTTTTCTAATTTTTTAATATGAGTATCTTCAGCTTGATTATCTTCAAGTAAAATTTTTTGATGATGTTCTTTAGCAGCCTATCAACAACCAAAATAAAAAATGATGAATAAAAAATAAAAAAACAAAAACAAATGATTAGTAAACTTTTTCATCAAATGTTAATTCTGATGATTTATTTTTCTTCTTTTTTTTCTTTTTCTTTTTCTTTTTCTTTTTCTTTTCTAAATTTTCTTGATGTTCAATTGAAGGTGAAACAGTATCAATTGACATTGGAATCTAAATGAGAAATATTTATTTTAATAAATAAAATAAAATAATCTAACTTTTTGTCCATGATGCCATGCATTTCGTTTTGCTTTAATTAATTTTCTCTCAAGTTGACGACGTTTTTTACGTGATAGAGAAGATGTTTTATCTTTTTCTTGATTTAATTCTACTTTCATTAAATATATTTTATCTAAAATAATTTTATCTATTATTTAAGAAATAAAATAAGGCAATACATGAATCATCCAATAATTTCTTCTGATTCAAGTTCATGTTCAATATAAAATTCTGTTATTTTATTTACAACAATATTTATATTTAAACCATGTTCAAGTATTTCATTCAATATCTAAAATGAAAAATAAATAAAATTTTCGTTTATCATATTATGAAAATAGACCTGTTGTTCAAAAAGAACTTCTCGAACATCATTCGGATCAATAGCAAGTGATAAAAGAAAATCTTCTTTGTAAGGAACTGAACGAAGTGCAATCTAAAACAATTATTATTATTAAATCATTTTAAAATGTTTTTTTTTAATTATTTTAATTAAAAAAAGAAGATTTACCGAAAAAACTCCTCGTGTAATCCATCCATGAAAACGTTTTAATGTTTGTCCATATGCTTTATTCATAGCATCTTCAACACTTTGATCACCTTGACCAAACTCATGAAGAAAAGATCCAAGAAAATGAAAACTTCTATAATACAACAACAAAAATAAGATTTTACCAAAAATTCATCATTATTTATATGATCAACAGTTCGAATAGATGAAATAGATTATCTTATTCATATCTGTAATTACTCTTATATTAATCATTTAAAAAATTTCGCTTTTTCTTGTTCTGTATAAATCTCAAATTGAAAATCAAGTATTTCATATATCATTCATTAGATCGAGAAACTATTGTATTTTATTTTTGAGTTCGTCACTCTTTTCTAAAGTAGGAACGTATCAATCGTTAAAACATGATGTCAAAGATAATACAGGGTGGTCCATAAATAACTGTGCGATAAGAAATTCGAATATCTCCATTACGGCTCGAGCAAACGTGCTGATTTTTTTACCACTGATAGAGGCATGTATCAAGTTTATATCCATAAAGACATGTCCAGGGAGACCCTTTGTTAAGTATTATTATTGCCCTCAACAAGAAAAATTTACTTTTTCACAGATAGAAAAAAAAGCAATACACTTAACAGAGGATCTATCTAGGCATGTCTTTATGGATATGAAGCTTGAACATGCCTCTATTATGGGTAAAAATATCACCTCGTTTGCTTGAGCCGTAATGNTATTAAAAAGAGCACGATGGTGAGATGGGGAACTTTGTCTTTAGTATACATACGTCCAGAATATAAAGTATTTTTGTGAGAGTATATAGAAGATTTGAACAATTCTCAGTGAACTGATAAAATTCTAATAGTTTTCAAATTTTGATTTAACAACTTCATATCAAATTAAAAATGAAAAGAAATTTTACCAGTTGACATAGCATAGTTGAAATCTTCTATATAGATCCATTTATGACTAATCAGTAATTACCTAATTGACTTCGACATTACAGTTGGACTCACAATCAATTAAAAAATATATTCTTTCGAATACTGAAAACTGTAGATCACTCGCTACTTTCTTTATTACATAATTAACGATAGAAATAAGTTTATTCTTTTAGTTAATTTTTCTCACTTGAATTATTTTTGACAACATTGCCTTTGACATCAATTATTCGTCCATAAATATCTTCTTTCAATGCTGGAATTTCTTCATTATCATCTTCTTCTTCTTTACTAAAATCTTTTTCATCTTCCATCGACTCATAATCGATCAGTTTGGTTTGAACATGTTCATTAAATTTAACAGCAGGCTTTCTCTTTTCTTTTTTGTTTTAATATTCTTCTCTATATTATCTGTTTGATTAGCTAATTCTATTCTTTGTTTATTTGCTAACCATTGTTGATCTTCATCTTGTTCATTATACCAAACATTTGCTTCTCCATCATCTAATTAATATTCAAAACTATATCATTATTGACAAAATAATGAATTAATTACCTTTTGTAAGCATAATTTGTTTTCTTCGATCTTTATCACAAAAATCAAGTAAATAATCCAATCCATCATTAATAAAACCACGTAAATAAGTTTTTCTTGAGAGTTTAATACCTAAAAGTTTTTCTAATTTTTTTAATATAAGCATCTTCAGCTTCATTATCTTCAAGAAAATGCTTTCGATGATGTTCTTTAGCAGCCTATTAAAAAAAAAACCGAGTATTATTATAATAGAAAGAAATGACAGTTGAACCTCTTCATCAATTGTTAATTCTGATGAGTTGTTTTTAGATTTTTTTCTTTTTCTTTATTAAATTTTCTTCTTCTTGAATTGAAAATGAAAGAACATCGATAGACATTTGAATCTAAATAAAATCTTTATTTTAATAAAGAGAAAAAAATCTCTAACTTTTTGTCCATGATGACATGCATTTCATTTTGCTTTAACTAATTTTCTTTCAAGTTGACAACGTTTTTTACGTGGAAGAATATGATTATTATCTTTTTTCTGTTTCAATGCTACTTTCATTATTTTTATCTAAAATAATTTAATCTATTATTAAAGAAATAAAAATATATACATAAATCATCCAATAATTTTATTCGATTCAAGTTCATGTTCAATATAAAATTCTCTTATTGTATTTATGACAATATTCATATGTCAACTGTGTTCAAGCATTTCATTCAATATCTAAAAACAAGAAGAATAATAGATCAAATATTGAATTTAATATATAAAAATTTACTTGTCGATCAAAAAGAACTTCTCGAACATCATTTGGATCGATAGCAAGTGATTTAAGAAAATCTTCATTGTACGGAACGAAACGAATTGCAATCGAAAATGATTATTACAGGAGAGGCAAAAAGTTCTGGGACATGGAAAAATACTTCTCAAAAATTTCATTTTTTGTTCGAATTCAATTTCTCACATATAATGAGTGTTATTTATGATTAGGCTTCTCTATGATGTTATACCATGGTGTAGCATAATATAGAAGCCTAATCATAAATAAAACTCATAATATGTAAGAAATTGAATTCGAACAAAAAATGAAATTTTTGAGAAGCATTTTTTAATGTCCCGGAACTTTCTGCCTCTCCTGTATTAAATGATTTGACAGAGTTTTTTTGTGAATGAAAAGGATAATTACTGAAAAAACTCCCCGTGTAGTCCATCCATGAAAACGTTTTAATGATTGTCCATATGCTTTATTCATAGCATCTTCAACAGTTTCTTCGCCTTGATCAAATTCATAGAGAAAAGATGCTAGAAAATGAATACCTCTAGAATACAAGAATAAAAAGATGAGTAATTTGCACAGATTGTCTTTTTAATAGACATAATTTATTTTATATCAATGATGTAAAGAATTTCGCCTTTTATTGCCCCATTTAGATCAGAGATGCCCATCGCGACTCGAAATCTGCCGCTGTCGCGCCGCGATGATTTTCTTTTAAATTTTTTGCTCCCGCGCCGCGATGAATTTCGAAAAAGTGTGCCGCTGCCGCGATGGTACTCGAGAAAAAGTTTCGAATTTCATTGCTGTGAATGTATTGAAATACAATTTTTCTCACTAATCAATGAGATTCATTGAGTCTTAGAGTGTTACGTCTGTGGACACTCAAGTTTTGTGCAAATTCATACAGTTTTTGCAGTCTTCCAGAAATAAGGTGCCGTCGCCACGATGCTTTTTCAAAAAACCTTGCCGCTGCCGCTACTGCGGCAGCGCCGCGATGGATATCTCTGATTTAGATGACAATCTATATATAGAATGTGAGTTTAAATCAAATTTGATCTAGACTTTAAATGGACAGACAAGCATCGCATACGTCAATAATTGGGTGCAGAAGTCATTGTGTATTATTCTAAAACTGAACACTCCTTTATGGGTCATTGAGCAATACATGATTATAGAAAAAGATTAAACACAGCTTGTTGTTTGTTTATATATATTACACTGTTCTCCTTCTCTATCAATCCTTCCGGTAATAAACTTTTGTCTATTATCTGTATAGTGTCGTTAGCTATTCTCTTACTTTCAGTGAAGAATGATTATACTATATTAGCATCAATAAATACAAAGTTTTTCAATATTGATTCTGCCTTCAAAAGATTCACTAGCGACTTTATTGAAAATTTTTATCTTAAACAAATTGAAAATTTATCGTGTTCTATCAATAGATCATATTTCGATCTTCTGTATTTGAATAGAAAAGTTATCTAAGATATTGATATATCTTTATCGAAAATGATTATTTCAGTGTTTAAAAGATTTGTACCTTCTAAGCCAGAGGAGTGCATCAATTGCTGAATTTTTTTCTTTTGTTGTTTTAGAAGTTATTTCATCATTAACAATCGAATATAATGTTTGAAATTTATTTAGATCATTACTAATTTTTCTTCTTAATTTCTATAAAAGAATAAATCAATAATATATATAAAGACAATAAACTTACACTAATATTCCCATTGAAATCTGCTCGTAGTGTAATAAATGTTGTACTATTGAACTTATCTATTACGATTAAAGTAATGTTTTTTATATTTAATATAAAATCCATATCAATGAGAGCAAGATATTGTTCACATGTGGAAAGAAAAAGTTCTGAATGAATATCTTTAAATGCTAAACAACTTAATTTAAAAAATTTAAAAGTAAATCATTTAATAAAAATTCCCTTAATTTTATATAACTTACGCATAAGGAAGTTGAGAAAAAAATGTTTTATAAACAATTTGTTTTGGTAAAACAGTTGGTGTTGCCGAATTTGCAGATCTATCAAATACAATCAATCTCAAATAAAATAAATTAATCGAATAACAAACTTAGTTGAATCAATTTCAGAAAATGATGTTCGAAGTGGTGATGTTCTAACAGTAGTTGTTGATGAAATTGGAGAAAGTAAAAGTAACGATTGAGATGAATCATCAGTTGATAATTTAACACATTCATCGAGTGTATGAATAAATACATCATATGTTACACTTAGCATTTATAATGATTCATCTAATTTCTTTAAAAAAAAATTATTTAAATAATTAAAAACAGAAAGAAGATGAATATACTTTAATATCAGGTATTGACGTATCATTTGCAATTGATTTAATAGCATGAATACGTTGTGTAAGAACAGTTTCATAGAGACGTAATTCTTGGACTTTTATTTTAAATTCATGATCAATTGCATTTAAATGTGAAACTAAAGAAAATAATAATAATAATAAATGATAAATTATTTTTTGATTTACTGAGTGTTGAAGATGCATTATTATTATTTGAAATAGTTGTTGTTGATGCAGTAGATTTCGTTCCTCTTGATTTACATGTTCCCAAAACAACAAGACAACGTTGTCATTCAGTTTGTGATCTAGGTTTTAAACAAAAAAATTGGTCACCTAGAATTATTAAATTAATACGAAGTGGATTCATGTCAATGAATTATATTGAAAAGATTTATTGATTATTTAATTAATCTAATCAATAATATTACCTTTAACTTCACAAGCAAGTACTAAACATGAACCTTTACATACTTCATCAATCAATTCACTTGATTTATAATATGAAAGACGCCTGTTTCGTCCAATACAAAATAACGAGGTTACCATCCTATATTAAATATAAATTTTATTTCAATTTTTCTTTTCTTTTTTAATTTCTTATCATTATAATAATTAGTCTATTTATAAAGTACACTTTCCATTACAGATCATTTAACTGTAATAGAATTTCAAATCAATAAAATTCATAGGGAACATCATAGATATGACAATGAAATCATGTTATACAATATTAGTTAGATTTATGAAGCGGAACATTTGATGATACTTTCAATCATCATCATCATCATCATGTCCCATAGGCTTAGCGCCCGTTGGGGCTAACCACTTACGAGATCAGATTTTTCCACGCCTGTCGGTCTTGCGCAAGCTGAAACAGATCTTGTCCACTGCGTTGACACCATTCGGCTATATCATCCAGCCACTCTCTGCATGGAC